CCATTGTATGAATTATTTGATGGGAAATAAGATGGGAGTCCTGACTAAAACTCCTTTCACATTCCAAGCAATGATAAGGATTCTCCCCTGTGTGAATTATTTGATGGGAAGTGAGCTTGGCCCTTTCCTTGAAGCTCTTTCCACATTCCAAGCACTGGTATACAGCTGGATAATCCTCCCTTCAAGGTGAGCTGTGGGGTGTGAGAATCCCAGATGCTGTAAGTGGCGTTGTTCAGAACCATCAAAATCTGGGATATTAAGATCCAACAGGGAGCCTTACCAAGAGCGGCCATGATCCCACAATTCTCCTTGATGCAGAGCTCTCTGGTCAGGATCCAGCAACACCCACTCTTCACCTGGGAAAGGAACAGCGACGTCTTCAAAGGACAGTGAACTCTTTAAAAAAGAAAGGTCCTCCTCTTAGCCAGTATAATGATCGTATTACCACAAATTGTTTCCTGCCTGTTCCTGCTGTGCTGTTTTAATGGGATTGTTTTGTTTCCCATACATTCTAAGTATGGATGCTTCTTTTAACGTCTTAATGGAATTATTTTATTTTGTGTTTTGTTCTGTGTAGTTGGAGGACCCACCCAATGCCCTAAAAACAACTTCAAGGGGCTTCCCCAGAGCCCATAAATCTCCATGTAGTCACAGTTGGACCTGTGCCAGCAGCAAAATGCGCCTGGCACCTGGCTAATTTCTAACACTATTTTTTTTTAAGTAACGGACCCCTGGGCGGTTAAGTCCAAAGGCGACTTTGGGGAGCGGCGCTCATCTCGCTTTCAGGCCGGGGGAGCTGGCCTTTGTCCAGAGAATAGTCAGGTTACCCTAGCAGGTACTTTGCAGATTCACCAATTGCTTAACAGAACTTCAGATTAAAAAAAAGAAAGAAAGTAGCAAAGAATGAGGCGTTTGGTGGAATACAATCAATTTATTAGAAAATAAACAAGTTCAGGCTAAGTTTGTGCACATATCATTTCAAGTGTTCCTGTTCCTTTTTCCGTTCCTTTATTACTACTGTAACAATGGGCATTCTTAGGCTGCTCCTCTCCTCCTGATCCAACCAACCCTGGCTGACCATTCCCTCTCGCTCTCCACCTCCAAGGGTCTCTCCTGAAGGGTCTCTCCTTGGCTGCTTTGAGTCCCGGAAGACCTGCTCCCTGCCTTGCAGGCCTTTTCTCATCTGACCACAGGGATGTGCAGCTGGGGTTGTTTGGATCTGTTTAAGTCGTTGCTGTGATTTGTGTGGAAATTGCTGGGTTTGGTTGTGTATTTTTTGATGTTTCATTTCTTGTATAGGACCACTTTCTTAGATACAATCTATTAAACTGGTATATCACCCTCAACCGAAAATCTCAGGACGGTTTCCAGCATTAAAATGCAAAATAAAACACAGAATAAAGAATAAAAACCAGAAAAAAATGAAGCAAACCAATAATTCACCTCCCATAATTGCATTTAACATCAAAAAAACATCAACAGCCTAAAAAAAACCAAAAAAAACCGAAGATCATGGCCACTGGTCCCATCACCTCCTGGCAAATAGAAGGGGAAGAAATGGAGGCAGTGAGAGATTTTACTTTCTTGGGCTCCATGATCACTGCAGATGGTAACAGCAGTCACGAAATTGAAAGACGCCTGCTTCTTGGGAGAAAAGCAATGACAAACCTAGACAGCATCTTGAAAAGTAGAGACATCACCTTGCCAACAAAGGTCCGTATAGTTAAAGCTATGATTTTCCCAGTAGTGATGTATGGAAGTGAGAGCTGGACCATAAAGAAGACTGATCGCCGAATAATTGATGCTTTTGAATTCTGGTGCTGGAGGAGACTCTGGAGAGTCCCATGGACTGCAAGAAGATCAAACCACTCCATTCTTAAGGAAATCAGCCCTGAGTGCTCACTGGAAGGACAGATCCTGAAGCTGAGGCTCCAAGACTTTGGCCACCTCATGAGAAGAGAAGACTCCCTGGAAAAGACCCTGATGTTGTGAAAGATGGAGGGCGCAAGGAGAAGGGGACGACAGAGGACAAGATGGTTGGACAGTGTTCTCAAAGCTACAAACATGAGTCTGACCAAAGTGCGGAAGGCAGTGGAAGACAGGAGTGCCTGGCGTGCTCTGGTCCAGGGGGTCACGAAGAGGCAAACACGACTAAACAACTCAACAACAACAATTGCATTTAAAAGGACATTGAATATTAAATCAGTCTAAGGCCATCCTTTTGAATTCCCCGCCAATCACCTCTCACCCCCAGCATTCCAAACTGGCCCCTCCCTAGCAATGACCCTCAGTGTCCCTTCCAACACTACAGTCTTATAATTCTATTATATTCCCCGCTGCAAGTTATTTGATGGGAAGTGAAACTTTCAATCAAGATGAAGCTCTTTCCACATTTCAAGCACTTTTAGGGTTTCTCTGTCGTATGAATTCTTTGATGGGAAGTGAGTGTTTGCTTCAGGGTGAAGCTCTTTCCGCACTTGGCACTGAAATGGTTTTCCCCCACTGTGAATTCTCTGATGTCACAGAAGCGCTCTTCTTGCAGTAAAGCCCATCGTGCATTCTAAGGACTGATGTAGTTTCTGCCCTGTATGAATTATTTGGTGGGAAGTGAGACTTTTCTTGTGGGTGAAGATCTTTCCACATTCCAAGCATTATTAGGGTTTCTTACCTCTATGAATTCTTTGATGGTAAGACAAATATATCTTCCAACTGAAGCTCTTTCCACATTCCAAACACTGATATGGTTTCTCCCCTGTATGAATTCTTTGATGGGAAGTGAGATCAATATTCCGACTGAAGCTGTTTCCACATTCCAAACACTGATAGGGTTTCTGCCTTGTATGGATTATTAGATGGGAAGTGAGACTGGAGCTGCAACTGAAACTCTTTCCACATTCCAAGCACTGATAGGGTTTTTCTCCTGTATGAATTCTTTGATGGGAGGTGAGACGGTCCTTCCTTTCGAAGCTCTTTCCACAATGCAAGCACTGATAGGGTTTCTGCCCTGTATGAATGGTTTGATGGGAAGTGAGATAGGAACTGCAACTGAAGCTCTTTCCACATTCCAAGCACTGATAGGGTTTTTCTCCTGTATGAATTCTTTGATGGGAAGTGAGACGGTCCTTCCTGTCAAGGGTCTTTCCACAATGCAAGCACTGATAGGGTTTCTGCCCTGTATGAATGGTTTGATGGGAAGTGAGAGAGGAGCCCTGACTGAAGCTCTTTCCACAATCTAAGCACTGATACGGTTTCTGCCCTGTATGGATTCTTTGATGGCAAGTGAGATTGTCCTTTCTCCTGAAGCTCTTTCCACAATCTAAGCACTGATACGGTTTTTGCCCTGTATGAATTTTTTGATGGCAAGTGAGATTGTCCTTTCTACTGAAGCTCTTTCCACAATCTAAGCACTGATACGGTTTCTTCCCAATGGGATTTTGATGAGACATGGAATCGGAGCTGTTAGTGAAGTTATCTCCACATTCCAAAGACTGATATGGCTTCTGCACTGTGTGGATTTTCTCATGGTTTCCCTTGTTCTTCATTTCTAATTCCTCAACACCTGAAATGAAGAGAGAGATGAATTAGAGCGTCAGGATGATATGAAGCCCCCAATTATTGAACAATGCTCATTAGCGCTTGTGATCGAGGAAGAACTGAAAGGATTTAGATGACGAGCGTAAGCAGTGCACCCTTCCCTCCCTCTCTGAGTTTTCTTTCTCTAGAGCAGGAGCCCAGGACCAGCTGCGTGTGTCAGGCACCCCCAGAGGTGCTTTCTTTGGGAAAACCTTTTGGCTGACATGCTGAGCTGCTTCTTCCCTTAGCTACAGAAGCAGGAGGAACAGCTTCGTGTGAAAAAGGCTCTCCCCTCTGCAGCCTCTGAACTATGACCGTCTGCAAACCACGGTTCTAAATCTATACTGTCCTCTTGCCCACGGGAAGGTTCAGGAGAAGGGGGCAGCCCCCACCATTCCTCCTCAGTCCAGCCCCTGACAATAGGAAGAGGGGGCAGTGATTCCTACAATTTCTATAATTCCGTCAGGATCTTCCTGCCTCTTTCTCACCTTGCCCATCTTTGGTCATCCTGTTTCCGTTTAACAACAAAGCGAAAGACTTGTGATCGTGAGCAATGATCTGAACCTAGACATCTCTGTCTCCAACCTTCCTTTACACCCCTTGCCATGGGGTGGGTGGATCCCGCTGGGGAGCTGAGTATCCTGCACTGTGCAACCCTATATTTGCATGTGTTGATAATGCCTGATGTGTGTGAACTCAGAATGTTCCAGAATGCCTTGCAGGATGCGGGAATAAGGCTTCGACTTTCGTGTCGTATTAGAGTTATGTCAATCTATCTCCAGACACAAACCATATCATGAATTCAGATTAACACACATCTCCTGACACTCTAGGTGGCAATGTCCATCAAAATCTGGGAGGTTTTTGATCTAAAAATATTGACTGAATTTCAAAACAAGTATTATGACCAAACAGGGAACCTTACCGGGAGAGTTCATGATCCTACAAGTCTCCTCCATGACTTCCTTATGCAGAGCTCTCTGGGCAGGATCCAGCAACGCCCACTCCTCAGCCGTGAAACAAACAGCGACATCTTCAAAAGAAAGTGGACCCTAAAAGAAAAAAGGTCCATTTCTTACACAACATAAAGATTATTTACTGCGCGTTGCTTTTTCTGCCTGCATTGCATTAATCAGATTTGTTTGCTGCACATTTTGACTGTGGGTGCATAATTTAATGTTTTGGGAATCTTTCATACTGTTTTTAATGATGGGTATGAATCTTAGTGAAAATGGATGGAACTGTATGTTTATTTCTTCAAATCATTCTGTCTGTGCAAGCACGCCAGTTTTCCAGATTTGACAGAAGAAAAAAGAGCAGGAGAGAGATTCATTTGCCCCCAGAAACGCCCTGGCTGCCCCACACCTCATCCTTCCTCCCCCCGGCTCTTTCCCCCTACCTGATCCAGTTCCTCAGCCGCTGCTTCCCCTCCACCAGGATGAAGAGATGGAGGAGGAGGTCTTGCCGGCATCCTTCTTTCACCTGCGAGAGACAAAGGGAAGTGGGGAGACAGGAGTCCATGATGCTTCTCTCAGAGGTGCATTTGGGAGTTTGTCCCCATTTCATATTTAGCTATGCTAAAATCCTTTTTGGCCTCTTGGCCCCAAGTGTCATACCGAAAAATACTGACAGAAACCACAGATTATTTTGAGAATAATAGGATGTGGCCAGACTGAGAAGAAATTCCTTCCTCCTTACCCAGCAGCCTCTCTCTGGTGTCCAACAAAGTCCTCTCTGCCTCAGAGGAATCAGGACCCGTTTCTGCAGACAGATCATTTTCCTGAAAGAGCAACAAGAATTTGTAATAGAGAATGTGGGGAAGGGTTAGAAAAGGAGTGGCAGAGGAAAAAAACTTCAGAAATATCACATCTCATTCCTTGGACGTTTCCGAAAAAGGATGGCCCCCCTGTTTGGAGTCCCTTGGGAGTATCCAGAGGAAAGTCTCTCTCACCTGCTTCCTCTCCTCTGCCTGACTCAGGAGGAAACCTTCGGCCAGGGCCACTGCCTGGGAACTGGTCTCTGCTCCGCATTCCCTCACCCAGCTCTCCATCTCCGCTGGAAGGACAGCCAGGAACTGCTCCAAGATCACCAGGTCCAGCATCTCAGCTTTCGTGTGCCTTTCTGGCTTCAGCCACTGGTGGCAAAGGTGGTAGAGTTGGCTGCAAACCTCACGGGGTCCTTTGGCCTCCTGGTGACAGGACTGCCTCAACTGCCGGCTCTGCGCCTCTGAGCGAAGGGGGTCCTCCTCTCCCAGGATCTTCTGCCCAGAGCTTTCCCAGAATCCCCCACTGCTCCCAGTTTCCATAGCATGGCCTCTTCCTGCCCCAGGGCCAGCTGAGTCTTGCTCATGCATCTTCACTCTCAGGAAGTCCCCAAAAGATCAGAAGGAACCCCTTGGTCCTCTTCCAAGTTCTGTCCGTCCGAACGAGAGGTGCTGGCAAATTCTACAAAGACATTGTTCTGTTATAAAACTGGTACACGGGAAGCAGAAGAAGGTGGTTCCCTGCGTAAGCGTAGATGAGTCTTGGAAGGAACCAGGACTGGACTGCACCCCAGCCCAGGCTCTGAGCTTTCTTTAAAAAAAAAAGGAAGAAGTAGAAATCTTCTAGTTATAGTTTTAAACTATTTTTCCTAAAGTGTTTTAATGTTGAAATCTGCCCTGGAATCATAAGGTGAAGCGCATTTAAATACAGTGGTACCTCGGGTTACATACGCTTCAGGTTACAGACTCCGCTAACCCAGAAATAGTGGTTCAGGTTAAGAAGTTTGCTTCAGGATGAGAACAGAAATTGTGCTCCGGTGGCAGAGCAGCAGGAGGCCCCGTTAGCTAAAGTGGTGCTTCAGGTTAAGAACCTCCAGAATGAATTAAGTACATAACCAGAGGTACCACTGTAATAGGATGGGTAATTAATAATTATAATAATTAAAATAACAATAATGTTGCATAGCATAACCCACCACCACATCTGCTTAGAGGTTCCCAGGTGGCCTCAGTGACTAGCAGTGCCCCCTTCCAGCTCTGGCTAGTTTGCCAGCCCCAGTCTCTTTGGGACGAGAGGAGGAGGCCATGGTATTCCATGCTCTGGATCCAATGGGATCATTGCAATGCCCCCCATGTGCAGCTGCCCTTGAAGACAACTCAGAAACAGCTGCAAAATGCAGTCGTCAGATTATGGGCTGGGTTCCTTCTCTTTATTAATTTCATTTCCATCCCATCTTTTACTCCAAGGAACCCGTCCTCAATGAATCCCCAAAACAACTCTTGAGAACACATTCCATTCCTCTTTTGAAACAGCTGCATTGCTGGCCCATTCACTTCTGGGCCCAGTTCAAGGGACTCACAGGAGCCAAATATCTAAAGAAAGGCCTCCTTCGCTACACACCCCCTTGGGGGCTCAGGGGGGCAGAGGGGCCCTCTTGGTGGTTTCCCCACTCAAGAGCTTTGGGTGGCCAAAGAGAGGGCAGCCTGGTGGCGGTTCCTCTCTTGGGGAATTTCCTGCCCCCTTCCCCTCTTGACTGAGCTCTCGGATGCCTGCCCCACACCACAAGCTTCTTTCACTGAACCCCAGAACTGCAGAGCTGGAAGGGACACTGGGGGTCATGTGACCCCCGCAATGTAGGAATCTCAACTCACACATCCTTGAGAGCTGGACATCCAAACTCTGCTTAGAAACCTTCAGGGAAGCAGAGCATTGCAGGGGGTTGGACTAGATGACCCTCGGGCTCCCTTCCAGCTCTACGATACCATGTCCCTATGATTCTCACAGGGGCCTGAATGGGAAGCCCCCCCCCCAGCCGGACTGGGGCGCAAGAGCCCCCCCCTCTCTCCCCCTGCGCTCCCTTCCAGCAACTGGGATTCAGCAGCATCTCTGGGGAGACGAGAGCTCAGCCCTCCTGCATGAAGCCACCAGGAGCCCCTCCTCCCCCCTGGACTTGGGGTCCCCCCTGCACCCCCTTCCCCCCACTGCGCCTTCTCAGGGGGAGAGAGAGGGGAGACTCACCCCAGGCCGAAGCTGCCCAGGCGACCAGAGGCCCCTCTGGCTCCGGAGGTCCCGCCCCCTCGCCCACTGCTTCCTGTCCCCTCTAGGAACCCGGCTCAGTTCCTCTTAACCCTTGGAATGCCGAGCTCCCCAGTTCTCCATCCTTGCCCTGGAGGACCTGCCCCCTCCCGCAGGATTTCCGTCCGCTCTAGGAAGGCAGGTCACTTGCTTTTAACCCTTGGGACGGGGAAGATTTTCTTTTTTGGTTTATGAATATACCTTATTTCTATGGGTAGCCAGAATCCCATTGCTGATCCAAGCCCCAGATCGCCTAATCCAGAGTAGTTCAGTTCTGTAGAAGAGAGGAATGGAAGCCGCCCAGAGTGGCTGGGGCAACCCAGCCAGATGGGCGGGGTACAAATAAATTTATTATTATTATTATTAAAGAAAAACCCAGAGGAGGTGCATCTTTAACGAGGAGACGGGAACAGCAGTGTCTATTATTCTGGATAGTATTTCAGACAGTCAAATGGTCCACACTGATGGATTTTATTAATAATGATTTAAAAATCAGGACATTTGCCACTCTCATAGATGGCAAACCGAGGTTCAGGCTCACTGATGTCATTGGCCATCTGAGAAAAGTGTGTGGAGAAAAGAGCAATCACTCCAGCCAGGAATGGAAATTCCAGTGATTCAAAATACGTGTCACAGTCTCAGAAGAGAGCCAAGGCTCCATCCCAAAGAGTCATTTGCTTCAGATATAACAAAGAGGGACACATATCCCGATTTTGTGAAGCTCCAAACCGGTAAAATCCCCTTCATTTTAGCAACCAAATCAAAATCAGAGCAGCAGAGATCAAGAAAGCAATCTTCTTTTGCAACAGAAGCATCTAGCTGTAAACAGATGCGAAAGAAAAAGAAAGAACTCAAACCAGTGGTTGCTGGATTATGGATGTTCTTCATTCGCTCTACGTGGGGCTGCCCTTGAGACTGACCCAGAAACTCCAGCGGGTGCAGAATGCTGCAGCGAGGCTCCTCACGGGGTCTTTGCCATGGGAGAATATTCACCCAGTGCTTTTCCAGCTGCACTGGCTCCCGGTGGAGTACAGGGTCAGATTTAAGGTGCTGGTTTTGACCTTTAAAGCCCTTTGTGGCTTAGTGCCCTCGTATTTACGGGATCGCCTCTCCTGATCTGCCCCACAGAGGACCTTAAGGTCCATGAATAATCATTGTTTAGAGGTCCTGGGCCCTAAGGAAGTCAGGCTATCCTCCACCAGGGCCAGGGCCTTCTCAGTGGTGGCTCCCACCTGGTGGAATGCTCTGTCCCATGAGACCAGGGTCCTGCAGGATTTAACTTCCTTCCGCAGGGCCTGTAAGACAGCTATTCTGCCTGGCTTTCAATTTGAACTTAGCCTGATCTTTTATTCCCCTTCCTTCCTTCCCTCCCCCTCCCCTTTTTTATGAAGATTACCCGCTCTGGGATCCCACAGCTAACTCTCCTCTGGTCTCCTCACTGGCCCAAATAGGACAAATTTAGCCAGATAGCCCTGGAGATCATCTAATGTTATTGGATTGATTTCCCCCCTAAATTGATTTTTGAATTCTGAATTTATGGTTATTCATGTTTTATACTGTATTTTAGGCTGTTTTTTGTTGCATCATTTAAGTGTTTTAAGTTTGTTGTTAGCTGCCCTGAGCCCAGTTTTCTGAACCGGGAAGGGCTAGGTATAAATACAAATTTATTATTTATTATTATTATATACTGTATGTGTTAGGATGAAGATTTACTTGGCGGCCTGGACAATCTTAAGCTGTCAGTGGGGATGGCCATATTCCAACTGTCGCCGGTGTAGCAGGAAACCCCCACCCCAATCATTCTGCTTGTACAAACTTCACACACACACACACTCACACACTACATACGCCACATTTCTGTTATAAATTCATAGAAAATCAACCATACATTGGATTTGCACTGTTCCATTTTTATTTTACTCCATATGACAAGAACTAACAGAAGGGGAGGGGGGTTTGACCCTGGTCAGCCATAATCCCTTCACTGTCTCAGCACATCTGCAGGAGCCCTGCCCAGATGATCCCAGACAGAAGACAATCAAAATCACAAAGAACAGTGGATTCACCACAGACTGAAACAAAGGAGAATGATCAGATCTTCCCTCTGGGGGCAGGAAACTGCAAACTCCCCATTGTCACCTGGAAGGCACTCATGGGGAGGGGGAAAGGAGGAACCAGCTAGGTGACAGGACACTCAGGTTACCACCACAACTCCTCCCTCAACCCCTCCTTTCTGTAATGTATGCATGATGTCAACTCCTTTCTGTAATGTATGCATGATGTTTCTGGGGGTGGGCTTGACCTGGAGGAGGGGAATTTCAAAAGTTTTTATAAGGTCTTGCAGCCCATTGTTCTGGGTCTTTCCTCTTTCCTGCGAGTGAGGGGAATACCCTGTTGCAACAGTTCAATAAAGGCCAAGCCTACAGGCTGCTGTTTTGCTCCAAGTTATCCTGGTTGGTGTCTTTGTTTTTGTCCAAGAGAGCCCTCGGATTTTTCCGGTAACAGTTGGCGACCACGAAGGGACACTTGGTTCTCCTGCAAAGGTGAGAGGGGAGATAGAGGGGATCAGGCGCCACTGGGCAACCTTAGCCCAGGGATCCTTCTTCCTCTCCCTGCCTCCTCTTTGCGGGCGGTAATCAATCGTCACCAAAAGCTCAACCAGGGGAGCAAAGGCGAGGTCAAGCCGGCTAAAAAGAAAAGGATCCCGGGATCTGCGGGGGACATCTTCGAACGTGAGTATGGTTTGAAGTAAAACACATTGGGAGGGGGGTTGGAGAAGCAGTGTCCCCACAACAGCCAGACTTTCCTTCTTTCATTTCCGACGTTCCCTCTCGGGGTCGACCAGGAACGTTTTAGCTCTATTCTTTTCTCCCCCGATTCTCCCCCTCGGAGGGTGGCCAGGGAGATCGCGGAACTCTACTGTCTGACGTTCCCCCTCGGGGTC